TACTATTTCTGGGTTAGCGGAGTCTGTAACCTGAAGCGTCCTGTAACCTGAAAGCGTCTGTAAACCGAGGTACCACTGGATAGCAAAGGTACCTGCATAATGTTAATAGACAGGGAGCTCCAAAGCATAAATGATGCCATGTTGAAAGGTTGACTCCTTGCAGATGCAGAATGAATATCATACTGTATGCCAGTAAAGAAAAGAAACAATACATTCACACATTTACCATTGGCTCTAGTTTGGTCCTTACTCTTTGATGCACTTGCATCATAAGGTAGATCACTAAAGTGCCATTCCTCTTTCTTCTCTTCTTGTTTTGCAGCCATGGGGATGAGGGATGCTGCTGCCAATCGCTGTGGGGCTCACCCTCCTCAGTGGTGAGTAGAGACTTGGGTGGTGTGACTAGGAAATCGTCCAAGAACGAAAGTCTGCAAATAGGAGAACTGAATGGGCAACCTGCAATTCAGCCATGTGACCAGATAACAATAGGTGGCAGATAAGAGTCACATAGTTGGGGAAATCTATAGGCAATGTATCCATGCCTCTGATGAGGTTTGCCACAAATTAAGTGAATTGTCAGGAGTACAGGCTTTGGATATGGGCTGGTTGTGGGCTTAGTGATTGCAAAATCTAGGCGGACCCTCAAATCATGTACTAGAATGAACATCCTTCAGGTGATATGCAGTGAATTCTACTTGTTTTGTGAGCCCACCTGGAGTAGGAATCACCACTTTAAAGGATCACGGGGCTAAGAGTGTCTTAACCCCTACCCTGCCTGAGACATTTGTGGGCTTCTGCAAGCCAGAGTAGATAATAAGACTAGACGGGCCACGACACTTCAGTGTGTAGCGATATGTGTACCTGTGTGCAGGGCTGGATTTAGGTTTGATGAGGCCCTAAGGTGCTGAAGGTAATGGGCCCCTTCATATGTCCAGCTGTCCTTTGTCAACAACAAATGGCCGCTGTTTTTTGTGTTGAATATATGCTATATGGTAATTGGGGGTCTCCCATCCAGGTACAAACCAGACCCAGACGTGCTTAGCTTTAGCTAAAGCTGCTACATCATCTGCCTTCAGACCATACCTCGTAGGCTCCTTTAATATATTTTCAGACATTAAAACAAGATTTACTGATATCATGAGAGGAGAACAGGATTGCAGCTGTGAGTCTAACTATTTCAGTAGAGTGTGAGAACAAGCCCTATGTGCTTACAAGTTATACATGCAAAGGCTCCATAGGCTTGATCAAGTACCCTGCAAAAAAACAAGGTCCCCAATCATGCAGACACAGCTATACACACACACAGCTTGTCTGGAAAGAGATGTAGCTCAGTGGTAGAGCATCTGTCTTGCATGTGGAAGGTCCCAGGTTCAATCATCTGCCTCTCTAGGTAGGGCTGAGAGAGACTCCTGCTTGAAACCCTGGAAAGCCGCTGTCACTCATGGTAGGCAATAATGAACTAGATGGACCAATGATCTGACTTGGCATGGAGCAGCTTCCTATATTCCTATATTCCCTGTGTGTACATTGGAGCCCTCTTCAGAGCTTCTCTGCATGCACACTCAAACACATGGGGGAGTGAGAGTGAAACTTCACCACAAGCCCCATCGCCAATACCACACATGCTGCTGGCCATACCTCCTTATGTATATGCATTCTACACAGTGTCTGCAAAGGGACGCCCAATGTACCCATGTAGCTCCTCTGCATGATCAGAGGTTCGATCATATGAAGCTCCTCTGCATGTCTAGCTATAGGTGTTCCTTTGGAGACATTGTGCTGAACATCACTGAAACAGGGCCATCTCTGTTTGTGATGTCTGGGGCGTGGGCCAGCAGCTAATTGTCCTTCTCAGTGCATTTAGAGTGCACATGGAGAGAATGAGGATCTGCTGAGAAATTAAATTGAATGCAACCACATGTAGGGAGTGGGTGCCACAGCTCCACCCCACCCCCCATTCTGCAAAGCTAATTCTGAAAAAGACACTGTGCTAAGCTAAACCTTTATGAGACTGACAAGAGTTAACTGTCGTCACCAGTCTCATCATAAATCTTGCATAATCCAAGCCAGACTCTTCTCCATACTGGAGTACTGGATGGAACTTGGGTCAGCGCTTCTTGTGTCCCCGTTGATTTACTCCCACACTTTTGAAACTTGTTCAACATTTGCTACTGCTTTGCTGCTTCCGTGCATACATGCAGCCAAAAGAAAATGTTAAGTGCTCTGATAATGAGATGTTTCCTTGCAGGCATTAACCCCCCCCCCCCAAAAAAAAAAAAACCACCACGCAGCACATAGCTGTTTTTGCAAACTGACACTTTCCAAAGTTTCTGTCTCTTTCTGCATCACATCATTTGCAAGCAGTGATCGTTGTGAGTGCCAAGTGCCACGCAGCTGGGCAGCCTGTCCACTCCTTGGGAGATCCCTCTCCAGAGAGGTGGAAGAGGCATGCACAACAGCTGGGGAAAGGAGGACCCGTGCCAGAGCAGCAATGAAAGCAGGGTTGGCCAGATCACAACCTTGAGAACTATCCTGTTTCGTTAATGGCCTTGCAGCCATGAAAGAGAATGAAGTGGTGACTTTTCCTGAGCACACCTTCCTCTGGTTTTGGTTTCCTCTCATCCTGTTCCATCTGCCAGAGTATAAACAACTCCCGTCTTTCTCTCACAGCGGGGAGGACAGAAGCACAGGTAGCAGAACCAGCTTTGACAAATTTTCAGGGGTGTGGGAGAACCTTAGCTCAGTAGCAGAGGACATCGTTTTCATGCAGAAGGCCCTAGATTCACTTCTTGGCATCTCTAGTTACCTAGTGAAGCTGAATGTTGGAAGATTTGGAAGTGGAGTTTCTTCTTTACACAGCACGGAGTTCATTCCCACAGGGTGTGGTGATGGCTACCAACTTGGATGGCTTTAAAGGATAATTGGGGGGGGGGGGTCACAGAAGACAGGGCTATCAGATGCTGCTAGCCATGATAACTAAGTCCACTGTCAGTGGTAGCATGGCTCCGAATAGCAGTTGATGGGAATCA